CGGCGCTGGTGCTCACGGTCGAGCGCCCTCCGGGGCCTGGTTCGGGCACGATCGGGCCACGCGCGTCTCGGCCTCGCGAAAGGTCGGGTTTGCTGGCAGGGGGAGCCCCCCGAGTGGCACGGGGCCCTGCAGGGTCGGGCGGCTCACACGGTGTCGGGAGGCAGTTGGCCGGTGTCGGCGCGACAGGAGCACGAGCCGTACCTACACAGTGGCACCGTCAGGATCACGGGTCATGTCCACCGGGGGGAGCAGGCTGGAAAACGGCCCGCACGCCATCCGAATAAATGGCACTCGCCGTTGGCGCGAGAGCCACGTTTTGCAAACGAGCCGCCCTCAAGTCTTTGGCGTGAATGGAAGTGTCAAGCTGCATGGCCAACAGTTGGGGGAAGTTTCAGGCGGAAAGCTGGTCGGCCCTACCGACACGCGTGGTGGTACAACAAAGGGAGATGGCTTACAAGGAGGAGGTGGGGAGTGCAGTCGAAGGAGAATGTAAGATGAGTCGGGGTATTCGCAGGAAGAGAAAGGCTGATGAGCAGATGAAGGGAACATGACGACAACGACTGCGACGACGATTTCGACGGCAACACGACAATGACCACGACGAAGGCCACGACATCGACGACAAGCGACGAACGTGACAGCGACGCCGAAGATCAAGGCCACGACCACGACGACGCCACGACGACGACGACCACCACGTCGACGATCACGACGACGGCGGTGGCAGCGACGACGACGGCGACGACGTCGCGCGGCGCCGCGGGTCGCGACCCCGCCGCCGCCGCGCTGGGATGCCGCGCGGCAGGACGCCTGCGGCCAGCCCCTGCACCGCGCCGCGGCGGCGGGGGACGCCGGCGCGGTCCGGAGGAGGGCCCCGCCTCGGCCGCCGCCGCCGCGGCCGCCGCCGCCGCGGCCGCCGCCGCCGCGGCCGCTGCGCCGCGGCCGCTGCCTCGCAGGCGATTTGTTCTCCCCCGATCCCCGAGAACCGCCCGAAAAAAAAAAACGAAAAGTCTGGCTGCTCAGGAAGGGGGGGGAACTCTGGGCTGTACCCCCAGGGGGGCCATTCGGACGCACCCCTCTATCGAGGATGGACGCCCATAGAGTCGGAGCCCTGGAGAAGGAACCCTTTTCGTTGGGGAGGGGCTCCGTGTTCCTGGATTGCTTCACAGTTTGCCTCGGGTGTTCCCTTGGTTTCCGATGGGAAATCGAAGTTCAACTTGTGGATGACAGGGGCCTCGTTCCTTATTTAGGGTTCCTTGGGTCAACGCCCCGACGGCATCCCGGGGTTTGGCCCCAGACTTTTGGTCCAGTCAAAGCCTCCCCCAAAAGTCGAGGACTGGAGTCGCCAGATCCCCCGTGCTTCCCCGACCTCCGACGACATGGTCCTTCCTCTCGGTCCGGGCGCCCTGGGCACCGCGGGCTCCCGAGAGCTCCCCAGACCTCGTTCCGCGCACGCGCGGAGTCCAAAGGCTCAAGAAGACGCAGCCGAGCGCAGCGCAAGACGTGCAAACTGTTCAACGACTTGTAGGAGGAGGAGGAGGAGGAGGAGGAGGAGGAGGAGGAGGAGGAGGAGTGAGTTCGCGTCACGGCTGTTGGCGCTTTGACACCACACTTTCCCTGAACCAACCACTTCCGAACCACGGTAGCCTCTCACGCGGAATCCCAAAGCCCAAGTTGGAGCAGCCAATCGCAGAATTATGTTGATGATGACAATGTTGACGGTCAAGCGCCTGACAGTCAGCAAGAAAGCATTCAAATGATGGTAGCTGGGCGCCCCGCCGTGCGCTACACGGATTAGACATTGTTGGTTGGCGCGTTGGTCACGACGTTCTCTCTTTCTCTGACCTTTCAAGTTTCAACGCAAAGAAACTATTGCAATGCAAACGACAGTATGCTTCTGATCGCTGTGGTTGGCACACTGGGCACCGCAACCTTCCTGCCCATCCCCAAACCTCTCCCGCCTCAGATGCGGAATCGCAAGCTCCAGCTGCGGCAGCCAAGCGCAGCGCACAAACAGAGCACACTGCACAACGAGCATTGCGATGCACCAGAAGAGCTTGCAATGGAAACCAACTGCAAGTGCAAATGCAAATGCGACCGTGCTTCGGACCAGTGGGGTTGGCTCTTTGGGCGCCGCCCCCTCCCTGAGCCTGTCGTACTCTCCCCTGCCTAACACGCCGACTCCGAAGCTCAAGCGGAAGCAGCCGAGCGCAGAGCTAGGCTGAAGTGTTCGCTTTGGAACTCTTGAGCGCTCGAGTTTCAGCGACATTCCTTTTCGTTGTGATTGCATTGTGTTCTGCCGTACGCTGCACGGCTCAGGCATCGATTTCGAAAGATTGGGCAGACATGGGAGGAGGTGGTCACTGACCGACTGCCCCAAGGCCCGAATGACCTCCCAGCCTCCCAGCGATCTGGTCACACCGTAACCTCTGGAGGTCCCAGGAGGTCCACGGAGGCCCTCGGAGGGCGAAGCATCCGGAGGGCGAAGTATGCGAAGTCCTCTCGATCCTCGGAATCTTGGAGTCCACGCAGAAGGAGGAGGGGGGGTGGGAGGGAGGCACCCGCGTGAGCGGAAAACCGACTCGGGTGAGCTTGCCCGACGGCGCTTCGCGGTGCACCAACAGATAAGGCCGGAGCCAGAATTGAAGCGCACAGAAAATCGAAAGGGTCCACCCTGCAGGGTTCGGAACACACCACATCCCACGAGGCAGGGCAGAGAATGAGAGGAGCAGCGGCCCCAGAGTGGGGGCGCAGCAGCAGCAGCGCGCGCGCGGACAATGGGAGGGCAAGGTCTGTTTTTTCCCCAGGTCCCCGCCGCGCCCCCCGAGGATGTGCCTCGCAACCCGCCGAGGAGGAACGCAGCACTCCCACTGGACGTGGGGATGCGGAACAAACGCGCGCACTTGCACGCCCACGCCCCCCGCGGACCTCAGAGTTTTGCTCCGCATCCCCACGTCCAGGGCGTCTAAACTCCGATCCCGCACGTCAAGTGTATGTGTGTATGGTTGTGTGCGTTTGCGTGTCAGTTTGTCGTCTCTTCGACATCGTCAGCATCTCTCTCTCTCTCTCCCTCGTTTCTCACACGCATGGCGAAGTACCTATGTTTCAGCATCCCCACGTCCAGCGCGCGCGTGCTTCCTACGAACATCCGACAAGGCGCAGAAGCGCACCCGCAGAAGCGGACCCGGGGGTGGGTGCAGCAGCGGCGGCTGAGTCAGAAGCTCGACTGCACGTGCCGAGTGACCTCCCGCTGGAGCGACCTTCTCTGCCGCGGGCCCAGTGGAGCCCCCCCGATCGCCGAGCGCGAGGCGGCAGCAGCGGCTTGCGCGCTCGGGTTTGGTCCCCCCTCCGCGGCCTCCAACAAGCGACGCAGCAAATGTCCTTCTTCCTGGCGTCGCTCGGACGTGTGCATGTTTCTCTCGGCGGGGACCATCGAGGAGCATCCTTGATCATTCGGTGAAAAAAAACCGCGCACGAAGCCGAAAAAAAACACAGGGAATGGACGTCCGAGCGATGGCGAGAACAAACCACGCTCTGAATGTCTGTCTTGCGTGCAGCCGAGCCGTGCGCGCGCCCCGCGGGCCGCGCGCGCGCGGGGAGGCTGCTCCAGGAGCGGGCGGACGTGGACGCCGCGGACGCGGGGGGCGCCAGGCCACTGCTGCTGGCAAGCAGGCGCCGCTGGGGTCCCCGACCCTCCTCTCCTCTCCCCTCCTCTCCCCTCCCCTCCTCCTGTCCTCCACTCCTCCTCCTCCTTCCCTCTCCTCGCATCCTGCTCCCTCCCCCTTCCCTCCTCCTCGTCCTCCTGTGTCCCCCCTCCTTCCTCCTTCCTTCTCCTTTTTCCTATCATAGCCGAGTACATGCTTCAACGTAGGCACGTTGAGATATGCTGTGTTTGCTTGGCCAGCTTCGCCCGGGTTAATCAACAACTTGTTTCTGTTTTTTCCCTCATCCTCCTCCTCATCCTTCCCTCCTTCCCCCTCCTCCTGAACATCCTCCTGACTCCTCCTCCTCCTGCACGCCCGTCCTCCTCCATCGCATTCGCTTTTGGATAACTCCTCCCTGTCGCTCCCCGAGGCACGTCTGTAGGGCCAGCCGTGCGTTTCCCGAGTCGTCCTACCATTATTTCGTGCTCCTGCGGGTAGGACTTCGCAACAGCTTCAGGGATTGTGGGGAAGTGTTCAAAGTGTGGTTTTCGGTTATGTGGGTCCTCCTCCTCCTCCTCCTCCTCCTCCTCCTCCTCCTCCTTTCCTCCTCCTCCTCCTCCTCCTTTCCTCCTCCTCCCCCTCCTCCTCATCCTCCTCCTCATCCTTCCCTCCTTCCCCCTCCTCCTGAACATCCTCCTGACTCCTCCTCCTCCTGCACGCCCGTCCTCCTCCATCGCATTCGCTTTTGGATAACTCCTCCCTGTCGCTCCCCGAGGCACGTCTGTAGGGCCAGCCGTGCGTTTCCCGAGTCGTCCTACCATTATTTCGTGCTCCTGCGGGTAGGACTTCGCAACAGCTTCAGGGATTGTGGGGAAGTGTTCAAAGTGTGGTTTTCGGTTATGTGGGGAAGTTTTCAAAGTGTGGTTTTCGGTTCAGCGCCGTGCGCATTGGCTTCACAAGCTTGCAACCATTTCATGGAAATCGGGGGTTTGCAACATGTGACTCTCGCATTCGGTCCCGCGCATGTGATGTGCACGTTTGGAACAAGGGTCTAGAGAGGGTGATTTTTCATAATGTGACTCTCACATATGCGCCGCGCGCATTCCTTTTCACAAGGTGCAGCACTTGTTGTCATGAACGGGGGTCGTTTTCACAATGGAATGATCCTTTTACTGGTGCGGACATGTGTTTGAGAAATTGCAGCCGTTTGCAGGATGGAAAGCGGTTCCGTTTCAATCGTAGTACCGTCGCTTGCGCGTGTCTCGCAATGTCGTCTCAACACCTTGGCAAGGATGGAGCACAGGTCGTTGTCGAAATTGCTCTCTCGCCTGAACGCCTCGCGCGCCCGTTTCCCTCATGCAACATATACGAGGAGTTGGGAGTGTTCGGTTTCATCACCCGGTGCTCCCTCGAGGCATCGTTGATCCAGAACTTCAGCATGTTCAGCATTGGGCGGATCCTGGGCGGGTCGATCCCCAGATGGAGCGCTTGCTTGAGACTTCCGTGGGCATCTGGGCTCCAGCCTCTTGGTCTCAAGGGTCCGTCGGTTCTAAGGTCACCCGTCTCGCCGCCAGCACGTCGCGGCAGCGCATCCTGGGCCGCTCGCGGGCGGAGCAGCCAGGGCGTCGGCAAGCTCCGACCAGGAGAGCGTGCTCCTCCCGAGCAACCGGGGGAACCCCGGCGGCCTCCACGCGAGGTGGCCCCCGCTCAAGGCTCTCTTCGACGTCGGCCTCTGCGTCGCAGCTGCGGCACTCGCAGTGGCGGTCGTGATGGGGAGGATGTCGAGCATCCTGGAAGCCGTCACGGGCCTGCATCGCGATGGCCTCGGCGGCGGTACAATCAGTACTGCGAGAGCGAATCCATCTCCGACGACGAGTGCAAGCGCTCCTCGCGCAGGCAGCGGAACCCTGACGGCGAAGGGATGCGCCGCAGCGCCATCGGCAAGGAATATGCGACGACGCGGCCCAGTCCGAATGCCCCAAGGACGCCCTTGCCATCCGCATCTCGAATCATGAGGACGGTGATTACAATGGCGTGCTCCTGAAGGGGGCATCTTGGAACGGCAAACCCCAAGTTCCATCTCTACTTCTTTTTGAATGACCAGTACGGTACCTACTACTACGATGATGTCGGCGATTAACTGGATGACAAGGACCAGTCCTCCGAGTCGCCGCCGGGGTCGAGACACTGGTTGCACGGGGGATTTAATTTCGATAGGGCCACCTGGCGAACATACGTGGGTGAATTCATGGGATTGGAAAGTGCTTGCAACAAGTGGCACGCGCGCCATGGCTCTTGCACCGAAAAGAACGGGCGAGAAGGCGGAGGGGGCGCGCGGGCTGGTGGATGGGGTGATGGACGGGGCGCTCGGGATGGGGGGCGGTGCCGTGCCGAAATTCAGCGGTCGGGGCGGAGGGGGCGCGTTGGTTGGTGGGTGGGGTTGCGCAGGGGGGAGCTCGGGGTGGGGGGGGCGGCGCCGTGCCGAAAAAGACGGGTCAGGGCTAAGGGGGCGGTGCCGCGCCGAAGCAGAGAGGTCGGGGCGGAGGGGGCTCGCTGGTTGGCGGGTGTGGAGGGGGCGCGGGCGTCGCGCTGGCTGGTGGGCGCGGGGGCGCGGAGGGCCTAGAGAATGGGTCGGGGCGGGGTGGGGCCGTGCGAAATGCAGCGGGGCCAGGGCGGAGGTGGAGCTCTGGCTGGTGGGTGGAGGGCGCCGAAGAGGTGCGCGGGGCGCGGGGGGGCGGTGCCGCGCCGCAACAAAGGGGCCCGGGCGGAGGGCGCGCTCTGGCAGGCGAGCGGGAGGGCGCAGAGGGGCGCGCGGGAGAGGGGGGAGGGGGGGGCGCCGTGCCGAAATGCATGGGTCGGGGCGGAGGGGGCGCGCTGGCCGGCGCGCGGGGCGACGCAGGGGGGGCCCGCGGGATGGGGTGGGCGGCGCCGCGCCGAAAGAAGATGAGTCGGGGCGGAAGGGGCGCGCTGGCCGGCGGTTGGGGGAGGGGAAAGGAGGCGGCGCGGGATGGGAGAGGGGCGATGCCATGCCGAAATGAAACGAATGGGTCGGGCCGGGGGGGGCGGCGCCGCGTCGAAATAAAAAAGGCCCGCGGCGGAGGGGGCGCGCCGGCTGGCGGGCGCGGCGGCGCGGAGGGGGCGCGGGCGGGAGGGGGCCTGCTGGCCAGGCGCAGGATGCGGATGGTTTATTGCAAGGGGGGCCTCCGCTGGCAGGCTGGTCGGGGGCGCGCGGGCGACGCGCGCGGGATGGGGGGGGGGCGGCGCCGTGCTGGAGTAAAGGGGTCGGGGCGGGGGTGCGCTCTGGCAGGCGGGCGGGGGGGCGCAGAGAAGGCGCGCGGGGTGTGGGGGGGGGGCAGTGCCGTGCCGACAAGTAATGGTCGGGGCGGAGGGGGCGCGCGCTGGCCCGCGGATGGGTCGTTGGAGGCGGCGCTCGGGACGGGGGGGGGCGGCGCCGTGCCGAAATGGAGGGTCGGGGCGGAGAGGGCGCGCTGGCTGGCGGGCGGGTCGACGCAGAGGGGGCGCTCGAATGGGCGGGGCGGGGCCGCGCCGATGGGGTCGGGGCGGGCGGGGGCGCGCCGGCTGGCGGGCGAGGCGATGCCGAGTGAACGCGCGGGGTGGGGGGGGCGCGGCCGTGCCGAAATAAAAAAAGGCGGAGGGGGGGGCGCGCAGGCTGTTGGTCGGGGCGATGCGGGGGTGGAGCGCGGGATAGGAGGGGGGGGGCGGTGCCGCGCCGAAATATAATTGCCGGCGCCGTGGACACCATGTGCGAAATAATGAAAAAGGGTCGGGGCGGAGTGGGCGCGCTGGCCGGGGGGGTGCGGATGGGGGCCCGCTGGGGGAAGGGGGGGCGTGCCGAAATTGAAAAGTCGGAGCGAAAAAGCTCGCTGGCTGGCGGGCGGGGGGATTCGGAGGGGGCGCGCGGAGTTGGGGGGGTGAAGGGTCGGGGCGAGGGGGCGCGCGGGCTGGCGGGCGGGGGCGCGCGGGCCGGGGGGCGGCGGGCGCGGGGGAGGGGCGCGCGGGGCGGAGGGGGCGCGCCGAAATAAACGGAGTCGGAGCGGAGGGGGCGCGCTGGCCGGTGGGCGTAATGGGGTCGGGGCGGAGGGGGCGCGCTGGCTGGTGGGTGGGGTGATGGAGGTGGCGCTCGGGATGGGGGGGGCGGTGCCGCGCCGGAAAAAATGGGTCGGGGCGGCGGGGGCTCGCTGGCAGGCGAGCGGGGGGGGTGGCGGCGCGGGCGTGGGGGAGGGGCGCGTGCCAAAATAAATGGTCGGGGCGGAGGGGGCGCGCTGGCTGGTGGGCGCGGGGGGCGCGGAGGGGGGTTCCGTGCCGAAACCAAAGGGTCGGGGCGGAGGGGGCGCGCTGGTGGCTGGCGGCTGGGGTGGGCGCGGAGGGGGCGCGCTGGCTGGTGGGTGGGGGGATGGCTGCTTGGGTGGGTGGGGGGGAAGCCGTGCCGAATTCAAAGGATCGGGTCGAGAGGGGCGCGCTGGCTGGTGGGTGGGGGGATGCGGAGGGGGGGGCCGTGCCAAAAGGGTTCGGGCGGAAGGGGGCGCGCTGGCTGGTGGGCGGGGGGATGGGGCGGGGGAGATGGGGGCGCGCTGGGGGCGCGCTGGCTGGTGGAACGGTTGGGTGAAGGAGGGGGTGCCGTGCCGAAATAAAGTGGTCGGAGCTCTAGACACCCTGTGCAATACAATAAGTTCCGAATGTATGGTCATGGCAGGGACTGCCCCAGTGGAGTCGAACATAACTCGGTTGTGGCGGTCGTTCATCGTTGTGGCGGTCGTTCACTGTGGCTACCATACATGCCGGCAGAAGTGGTGAAGAGTGGGCGCAGTTGTGTGATGGTAGCGACAACTTCTTGGCATTTGGAATCAGCGTTGGCAATGGCGGCAGTTCTGGTAAATTCCAGCCAGGGGTTTCTGCCAATTGCAGAGTCCTGCCTAACATTCTCTGCTCTTCGACCCGCCCCCCTCCGCTCGCCCCATCATCGCCCCACCCCTCTTCTCCTCCCTCCCACCGCCTGGCCGCGTTCAGTCACTGGGCGCCCATTTTGGACCAACGAGCATCAGATAGCCGCTGCAATGTCAGGCGCTAGTCTTTGAGACACCCTGGACGGGTAAGCGCTTGTTGAAGTGAAAAGGAAGTGCTGAAGGAAATGATGGGGAGAGCCCATGGGACGCAATTCTGAATTCAAGCATCTTTGATGCATGTTCGGTTTGTTTGGTCCGTCCTCCTCCTCCTCATCATCATCATCCTCATCCCCTGCCCTTCTCCATGTGTGACTCCTCCTCACCCACTCTCTCTGCTCGTTTGTCTGTCTCCTCCCCGTCCCTCATCTGCTCTTCCCCCCCAGCGACGATGACGGTGAAGACCTTGGAGGTCTGTGGACGACGGCGACGTCGACGACGCATCCCATACGTTACTCCCCCCATCCCATACATGCCGCCGCGCCGTCGGTTCCGCCGCGCGGCCTGGCGTCGCGGGGAGGGCGCCGCGCGGCCACCCGGGCAACCTCCGCGTGGGGGCGCGGCGGCTCAGCCGTGGGGTTTGCCGCGGCGCCGGCCTCGCCTGCCGGGGCTCGGGGCGCACGGCTTGCAGCGGGTTTGCCGTGGCGTCGGCCTCGTCCGTGCGGGCGCGCTCCGAACAGCCGGCGCGGCGACACGTGACGCCCTCCGTTGGAGCCCTCCCGCCCTCCTCCCCTCCGGGCCCCTTGCCGCCGCTGCTCCTCCCTCCCCTCGCTCCGTCCTCCTCTCCTCCCTGAAAAAGATCTGCGCCCTGTGCGCTTTGGACAGTCTCGAGGGGCGCTCCGCCCTGGCCACCGGGCTCCTTCAACAGCCTGCGGTCAGAGGCGGTGGCTCAGCGCGGGGTGCCGCGGGTTCTGGCCTACTGCGTTCTGGTGCGACACGCTGGTCACGCTCCATTCCCCAGTCGTGGACGCTCGGGGCTGTTCCCAGGCCTTGCGTCTCACGAAGAAGCGAGCGGCCCGCTGCCAGCTTGCGAGGGGTCGCGCGTGTCGCAGGTGCCGCCCATGACCCCGCCGAGGTTCCCCGACCTGTGATGTTGCACCACGCAAACCCGAGAGGTCGGGCCTTCTGCCCGGGATGAGCTTTTCACAGTTTTGTTGACGGTCCCTGGGGCCGATAGGGGGCCCACAGAGGCCGAGCATAGTTAGTCAAAACAAACATACATACGGTAGGTTTGGGTCGTGTCGACCAGCGGTGACCCCAGCGCGGGCGTTCAAGGTTGAACGCCGCCGGCGACCCAGAATCGATCGATGTTGAACGATCGGACGTTGCGGCAGCGGTCGATCGTTCAAGGTTGAACGATCCCTGCGGTGTCAAAAACCAACGCTGGGTTGGCACGACACGAACCCGCCGTATGTTTTACGATGTTGTCATGGCCCGGGGAGGTATGGGTAATTGTGTTCCTGGTTGCTGCTCCTCATTCCCCCGACACCTCGTGAGCCCACCATTGATTTCTTCACCTCCTCTATGGGCAGGTCAATGGTGAGCTCTCAGAATTGAAGCTCCGATGGCGGCGGCGCACCACCGACCTGCCTCAAGGGAGGGTCACTCAGGGGCTCTCTTACCTGGTTGCGTTGCAGCTGCGGGAGTTGAACTTGCTCGACCTAACTGGGTCCCCCCCCTTGCTCCCCCATCGGCCCCGAGGCAGGGCCACTTCGCCGTCGTCCGGCTGCTCCTCGAGATGGGGGCGAGCGTGGACGTGGCGGAGGCGGGAGACCGGCGGTGGGAAGGGAGATGATTGAGCTCTCGAGG